TTTTGAAGAGTGGATGGAATTGTGTTCTGACTGATCTGATCGCTCCACCAACGAAGGGTGGAAAGTAGACAAAATGATTTCTAACCCTTCAGAGATTACAGGTACTGAAGATGCACTCAGAACAGATCCTGATGGAGTTTGAGGTCTCGTGAAGTTCTGTGATGAAGAGAAGGATCCTACCTCAGGGTATATATGTTATATTTTAATACCAAAGAAGTCTTTTTATACCAGTAATCCAATGGGACAGCAAAAGGTACATTATTAACAGCTGTATGCCAGTTACAATTACCTAAACGCCTCTTAGAACCGATGTCTGAATTTCCACATGCAGTTCCCGAAATATCAGAAAACCACGACACCAAAAAATGATCCTTCAAGCCATCGCCAACGTACCAAACGAGACCTTAAATCAATGCCAGAACAATCAACGTCTTCTTGCCGATATCCTACATATACTCATTCATCCTGACTTAGAACAGGATGTGTGGAATCTAAAGAGGCAGCCAGGGGTGAATTGCCCCAGTGCCGGGTTTGATTTCACTGCTTCAGCTGGCGTGCTGTTAATGAAAGGCCGCCTTGCCTGCACAGAGTGGTTTATTCTCACCTCAGAAATGTCAGACTTGAATCAATTCTGCACAGCGTTAAATTAATCATGAACAAGGGGATAAGACCAGCGTGCTTTGCTGCACTGGCCACACAGCAGTGACCCGCAGTGCTGGGGAGAAGACTCCGCTCCTTGGCCATGAGGTCATCGCTACGAGGCATGAATATGCAACCCGGTGCCTAGAAACAAGCTCTTTCAGACACAGCACATGTTCGGGGGGGGGGAGCTGCATTATCATCAACCAATGGGAAAGCGGCGCAAGCATACATGTTATGCTGCTGCCATCGGCATTGGTGATTTGAGTCTTGCTGTGTTACCCAAACAGTTCCATCGCGGTTTAAGTCATTTAATGTCATCATAACGGTCATGGCCATGGAGACAAACATGAACGTGCGCTATTCGAGGAGGGAGACACGCAGCGTGTGTACTGCGTCATTTAGCACCCCGTGGAGAAAAAGGATTTTTCTCACAGCAGGAGCAGCACAGATTATACATTTTTTCTCCTTTCAGTCAGTCATATTCTGCTAAAGTTGTGTGCACCGCGAATTTCGAGAGGGAAGACAGTCCGTCATTTCCATGACATTTAACCGCTTTGGCTACACCCAGCCTCTTCCTCCCGCCGCCCAGGGTGTGTAATTAAAGGCTAATCTATAAAGAGGACAGCACTACGCATAAACACACCAACACATACCGGCCCGTTCACCACCGCCTCAGATGCTAGGAATCCGGCAGGTGAAAATAACGAGCCAACTAACCCAGAATGTGAAATGAATACCATCTGGGCACCAAATCTTCAAAGGGGGGCAAATTCCCCTCCTTCCCAGCGCAGAGAGCCCCGCACAGGTGGAGGCCGCATATTAACCTTTCCCCTGCTGTGTGCGGAAGAGGGGGGAGACAGGCTCCCATGAACATCTCACCATCCCAATTAACGCTGGCAGCTAAGGGAGCGGAAACGAAAGCAATATTCGCTCGGCTTATGTACAAACCATCATCCAGAAACTTAATGCCTTGGACAGCGTAATCTTCAACCTTAGCTACATATTTAGCATATTAGTAGTGTGTTGAATGGGCTCTCCCTCTCCTGTGCAGCAAAGTAGCTACAGCTTATTGGTGCACTGCAGGCAGTGCTGTGAAGAGAGACTGAGCCCTCAGTCAGGGGTTTAACACGTCATTGGACACTGCACGGGTACATTAGTCAGCGATGGCCAATGGGAAGCTGCCTAACTTCAGGCAACACTTGTTCAGAAATATTATCGTGGAAAATGAACGTCAGTCTGCAAACAATTATACTCACACTACACAAAGGAGGTTCAGTAAAAGGATTTGGGTTAACTGAATTAGTGCTTTAGGTTGATTAACTGTAACTCTGACCAATTCTGTATCATTAAATATTTACCTGGCACATTCCTTAACTAATGCAACTTATAATTCTGGATTTATATGATATCAATACATTGCTCCAGGGGTATTAGATGCTGACTGATTGCTCTTTCAACCCAAGCTTTCCTCATTTGTAAGCTGCAATGGACATAAGCATCTGCTAATAATATATAAATTATTATATATATATATATATATCATAAATGTAAAGCACAACATATTTATTTAATTTAGGTCAGGCAACTTTCTGCAAGAACTATAGTCATTGCTAAAATTGCATTCATTCATCACTACTCCCCCTGTTGGCTAATCAGCAGAATACACCTCAAATCTAAATGCCAATCTCCCTCACTCCTGCCATCAAGCTTCTCCCTGCTCTGTAATCTGAATGCCAACCAAGTCAAGGATTATAAAACACCGGGCAAGCTGAGTGGTTATATGTGCTTTCACTGCTAAACACTGAGAATGTTCCCTCTGCCAGCCTCTTAAGGAACTGTTAGTCACAGTATAAACAGAACGTGTGCGAGCCTGATGAGGAAAAAGAAATTGATTGATGCACCAGAGGTGGGACTGAACGCTCGGCGAGTCGAATCAATCTTCTCCCACTTAAGTGACTGACTGCTCATTTCATACCATTTGTGACACACTTTTGTTTTAAAAAGAGAGGTTGGCCTCTGATTGTCCATCCCTGATGCCTGGTGAGCCCCCCCTCCCCCCCAGGCAGCCTAGGGCACCAAACAAACAATTACCGCTCAAAAATGCAGAGGAAGCTGAATCAAAGGGGTCCACGTCTCCAGCCTCCGTCACGCAAGACAAAGAAGTAATTAGTTCAGCACCAGTGGCACCAATAAATGCTGTATCAGTAAATACTTTCTATTCCAAATTTCTGTCACAACTTTCTTTCATACATACATTATGTGCCAAGTTTTTGTTGGCCCTACAACAGAAGGGAGGGGGGAAGTGACAGAAACTAACTTAACTTTGAAATTAATCTTCCACTGTTTTCACTCTCCTCGTACTGCCTGCTTACAATGTATGTTACAGGGGACCAGCAGCTAAAAGAATGTTTATTTTCATGCTTTTCTCCTGTTCAGTCAAGTTTCTAGGATTTATGACAAACATCATGCAGATTAGTGTGACAAGATGTGCAAAGTTAAGGTCATCTTGGATCTGAACAAAAATAAATTATAACAACTTCAGGTTGCACACACAGGAAAACAAATTATATTTTAAGGAACTTTACCCGATTTAGCTATTTAGCATAGTATACATAAACATACAGCAGTTTGTGACATTTAAACTAACCAGACAGGTGGGTAGCTAGAAATTGCCCCCCCCCCCCAAACAAAATGTTCTACTGACATCTAGTGTTCGACATAGTTTTAACAACTATTTTCGTTATAGTGCGGCACTGCCCCCATGAGGTAAGAACATGTTATACATCATAATAAAGCTCACAGTAAGCTTGGCGGCTGGATGGGTGTCACTGTTAGCGTGCGGCACGTGGCTTGGAGGTTTGAATCCTGCAGTGCGTGTGTGTGCAGAGATTGCATGTTTTCTCCGTGTCCTGCGTGTTTCTTCCCACAGTCCGAACACATGCAATTAGGTGAGTTGGCTTCTTGTACCATTGTGTGGGAAAATGTGCACGTGTTTGATCATGCATGAATTACATCGTAGGGACCAAAATGTGATTAAAAGAAAAACGTTATTTTGACCTTGTGGAGACATTTTTTCGGTTCCTACAAAGGGAAACCCATTTTTATTTAAAAAAAATTGTGAATGCAATCCAAAAGAAAAACCAAAAGACTTGTACTTTGTTTGGTAACGTATGATTAAGGTTAGGGCTAGGTAGAGTTTAAGGTTGTCATAGTTGGGATTAGGGTTATGCCCATAAAAATTAATGGAGAGTCGACGCAAAGATATGAGTATAGGTGTGTGAGAGTGTGCGCCTCATTATGAACTGCAGGCCTGTCCAGGGTGTCCCCTGCCTCGTGCCCTGTGCTTCCGGGGATAGGCTCCAGGCCACTCTCCCATGATGCTCTACTGGAGAAGGAGGTGGAAGATGAATCATTCTAAGAATTTTTGCTTTATAACAATTGTATTTATTTCACTTTGCTGCCCATTGTGCCTAAATATGTACATTTTATTAAATAGCAAAAAACATATTTTTAATGTGCCATTTATTCTGTTAATTTCCAAACTAAACCAGTTGAGGTTATTCAGACAACTATGGTGTAAATTAATTATATTGTAAAATGTAATTAAGTTCTTTGTTAACTATTTTCTAATCTCTAATTTTCTGCGCCTTGATTCAGTGGTACCTATATCTGTCTAATATGAACATACTGCCACCTTGTGTTAAGAATTAAAATTACATTTAGTGGAGTTTGCACGCTCACTAGCTGTATTTGGGTTTCTACCCATAATCTAAAGACATACAGTGAGATGGACGAATGCCCAATGTATCCTGGAATAGACTGCATGACCCTGGTCTGTGCAAGAAGTTGGAAGACAGATGACCCTGCGCTCTTGAGAAACACTTAAATACACCCAAGAGGGACTCAGCATTTAGAATGAGAAGAGATGGCCATTCCCTTTTGGAAACTTAGCCGGAATCCACACATTCTGCAGATGAATACTCTCAATTTCCAGTCCTCACAAGGGCCAATTATTTCCCCACTAAACCCTAAAATAGGGATTATAGCAAGACGAGACACACCCTGATAACACAGAAGAACACAGAACATCAAGGTGCACAACGTGGCCCACATGCAAATCGATACGGCGCGACAGTACGCTGTGTCAGCGCGCATGCGCCGATATCAGCGGCATCACTGACAGGCTGATCCACCTAATAAACCGACAGAGACCATCGGACGTCCCATGAAGGACACAGATACTCTGACAAATTCCACAGTGCCCTCACAAGTACGCAAGCAGAAAAAATCAGCTGAGCTATATATATAACTGGCTGTAAGACACATGGCAGAGGGACAAACTTAGCTTCCGTTCTTACCTGAGTAATGTCTGTCATCTTGTAGGGGGAGCGGGAGGAAAGAGGAGGAGAGGAAACATTGGGGGCTTTTAGCAAGAGCGTTACAGACACTGCTTCTCTGGGGTGATGCACGCGAGTCATGACCAGGCAGAAGACACACACGCACGCACACATGCACACAAATGCCATAGCTGTCAAAGCCAAACTGCTGGATACGTGGATAAGTGGATAAGTTCATGTCCGTATTTTTTCAATTTAGTTCAAATTCAGTTTATTTTCATATAGTTCCATATTCTCCAGTCATAACGATCTTTAAATTATTCTGAAGTGATTTTGTATCATTAGTAGCTATCTACAACTTAAATTATAAGAATGAAAAAAATTAGATGTATTTTTTTTGGCTTTAAATTATAAGCATTCCCATACTGCCTTGCAGTATTCTGACATTGTACTACCACCAACAACCAGAGAGGGTGCTAAAGTACTCTCAGCGTCCCTACTTCCAGCATTAGTGTTTCCATCATAGTTACTCTGATGCTCTGAACAGGTATTTGAAAATAGAGATTTTATTTAAAAAAATATATATTTTATACAGCAGAACACACACGCAGAAAATCCTGAGACACATCGATTAAGGTTGTCAACTGTCGGATTTGCCAGGAGATTCAAAGAATGGATGAGGCCTCCTGGAATTTCAAGGCTTCAATGTAGGAGATGTTTAGTCTCGAATTAGTGTCAGAGGTGCTCTCCTCCCTCAAGGAATACTGTCAGATGGAGATGGTAACCCTATTATTGATGTGTTTACATGCAAACACTAACACACACACTCGTGCACATGCAGGTGACAGAGTAGTGCTCGCTCACAATGGCAGACGGGTTTGGGCGAGTCCCATTTGCCAAGTTTGGAACAGAGGGTGGAGTTCCGGCCCACCAGCCTGAAACCAGCCAAGCAGCTGTATTGTAGCACCGTCCCCTCCACCGGGAGCCCCGCGGGCCACATCGTCACCTGGCCATTCTCCAAGGAGGTCCACACACGCGGGCACATCAGCACTGCGAGAGGCAGGGAGGGGGGCAGCGTCACAAGCAACACTACCCAACACAAGCAGGGAGATGCTACATCTGTGTAGCAAAGAGCAACTCACACAGTTCAGGGTGGTGAAGCACGCTTATCTGCTGCTTCACTGCAGCCTTGATCCTAAGAGAATTTTATACTCTTATTCATTTGTACAGATCAAGATTAATTCTAGAGAGTTTATTGTAATACAAACAGTAAACAGTCAGTTGCACTAGTCAATGAAAATCTTACTCTGCATGTCTTATCAGGCACCGGCAAACTCAGATTAAACACAAATGACAAATACAAATTAAGGAGGAATCATTTGCAGTAATTCAGATTATACACCTTTCTTCCCTCAATATCTATTGCATAAATCTATATTCTTGCATACCATGCTACCCACTGCTGACTCCTGTATCCATCTCACCTCCTCATCCATTTATAGAGCTCAGCGTTTCACATTAGCAGTTCATCTTAAGGACTTTTCACAAGTATCTTCTTACAAGGCCTTTCCTATGACCTAAACCGAAAGCCTCTAAGTTTCTATCTTTGGTTTGAAGTAGAACATTTGTTCTGACATGTTTACAGCTTCCTACTGCTGATCCAGACTGTTGCCCTGCCTTCATGCAGAGAGGAAGACAGCTGTGATGGATAGAGATACTGACAGGAGATGTTTGGCTTCAAACAGACGGGCACTTTTGCGTTGTCATTCACAAACCAGCTTCCAATTGGTTACTTTATTTGTTTCTACTGCAATTTGATTGGGCTAGACCATTGATTGACAGGACACAACTATTCTACCCACTGCAAGTTTTGAATGCCTGTTTTACTTTCTGTCAGACAGAAAGGACTAGTCAGGTCTTCATCCATCATTCACACTGGGATTCTTCCCAATACTCAAATGACTGTGAGGTAAATCGTTTCTTGGGGCTTTTTCCCTAAATAAGGAATATGGAAGATGTCACAGCAGTTTATGATGGAGGGATCTAACCCACAGGCACCTCTAATGCATGGAGTCCTTTATCTGGATGACTGGAGTTATATTATAAGCAGGAGTAGAGAAGGAGCTGGGATCTTTAGGTATCGGCAGGGTCACAGAGATCTGGAGACTATCCCAGAAGGCAGGCAATAACCCAAGACAGGACGGCAACCGATTACAGGGAACACAACATTCACACACACAGAGGCAATTTTAGCATGTTTTCAAACCATAAAACAAGAATAAAACCACAGAACAATCTGGGAAGAACATGCAGCATCCACGCACATAAAGCCAGGGCAGTAGTGACGGCCAAATGAAACTTCATGAACCATTTGCATTATTTTCTGACCCCACTAGATGGTGCTCTCTGTTCAAAAAAAAGGGCTCAAAGCAAACCAAGAGCACCATCTAGTGGGGTCAAAAAATATAGCAAATGGTTCATGAAGCGTCATTCGGGCATCACTACTGGGCAGATAATTGAACCTTGATCTTCAGAGGCAGTAGGTAACAGTGCTAACCACTGCACCACCCTGCAGAGGACAACAAAACTATATTTAAAGATAAGAAGGCTTGTTCATCACCGATTATATAAATAGTACATGGTATATATAAATGGTGGACAAGAATGATAGTGTATACCTGAAACTGCCACACAGCTGTTATACAATTAAAAAAACACAGATATAGCGCATAGATAGCTCTCTAAAAGCGGCTGGAGGCAGGTGAAGGATGGCAGCGGGGTGGCTGGCCGGCAGGCGGGGGCCGCACTCACAGCATCTGCTGCGCTGCGTGAGCTCCGTCCAGCTGCCGTTGGGGAGACACTTCCTGACCTTGGGCCCCACGATGACGCGGTTCCCCCGGCAGATGTACTCGATCTCATAGTCGACGGGCAGGATCTGGATGCTGCGGATCTGCACACAGGGCACTCTGTTTACTGTCTGTGTTTGCTGTCTCTGTGTGTTTACTGTGTATGTGTGTGTGTGTATATGTGTGTCTGTTTACTGTCTGTGTGTGTACATTGTGTGTGTGGAGGGGGTGTCAGATATACATTACATTCTGGGGACCAAATGTTCCTCACAATGTGATAAAAAACCTGTTATTTTGATGTCAGATGGAGATGGTAACCCTATTATTGATGTGTTTACATGCAAACACTAACACACATACTCGTGCACATGCAGGTGACAGAGTAGTGCTCCCAAAAGGGGAAACTCAATTTTATATAAAAAAAAAAAAACTAAAAATGCCAAAATACTTATATTTTGTTTGTGTACTTATGGTTAAGGTTAGGACTGGGTAGGGGTTAAAGTTGCCAATACTGGGATTAGGGTTTTGCCCATAGAAATGAATGGATGGTCCACACAAAGACATGTGTGTGTCCATTTACTGCCTGTGTGTGTTTATTGTGTGTGTGTGTGTGTCTGTGTGAGTGTGTGTGTGTGTTTCTATGAGTATATGTGTTTCTGTGAGTGTGTGTGTTTCTGTGAGTATATGTGTTTCTGTGAGTGAATGTGTTTCTGTGAGTGCAAGTGAGTTTCTGTGAGTGTGTGTGTTTCTGTGAGTATATGTGTTTCTGTGAGTGTATGTGTGAGTTTCTGTGAGTGAGTGTGTTTCTGTGAGTGTGAGTGTGTTTCTGTGAGTGTGCCTCTTTGCTCACCCTGTGCAGTTCTTCTGGCCTGAAACCCCCCTGTGGTGTATTTACATCCACATCTCTGACAATAACAGTGTCCTGCCAAGATCCCGATTTAGCATGAGGCAGCAAAGATGGCCTTATTTTAACCAGCTCAAGCTGTTTGATAATTCAGCATCAAAACCGACGGTCTGCATTCATGAATGTGGAATGAGCTGCTGTTTCCTCCCCTGTTAATTGCTCTGGTATTAATTGCCTGTACCAATAGCATAGAGCAGCTTAAAACATACAACAGCTACTCAGCTGCATAAAAATCTATCCTCCAACAATGGCAGGACCATCCATGGATGTCTGCCTTCTTAACGTCTCTTTACATTCTAAAAGTGCTCTTTTTTAAAATGCTCATCAGCTCTCTTCCCATTGGTTCCTGTAAAACCTTCATTTAAAAGGTACTCACGTTCTCTGTAATATTTTGCAAATAGGAAGCTACTCGCACTGTTTGCACTCACCTGTTCCTGCGTAAGCCCCCTGTACCTTATCCCTCCATCTCTGGGGGGGCGGATAATAGCACAACCTAAGAGGGAAAAACACACCGAACACCTCAATTCACACACCGAAGCACATCACCGCTCTGTGTCCTTTAACAATGAAGAGGAATCATTTTATCACTCCGTAGGGGGCGCTATTCTCCCTGATCTAAGCTAGAACGCAAGCGACTTTACAGACGCTTAACCATACCAGCCTTAAATTAAAAGCTCCTCAGCACCCCCACCCCCTGGGACCACGTTATCTGAAATTGGGAGATTTTTAGTCTGGAGGGGAAATTACTGTCCTGTGACATGTTGGCACCAGACATCAGACTCCTTTGGTCCTATCTGGACAAACTGTTAGCTGATAAACGGAGGCAGAAGCTTTCATACAACAGCCATAGCCACCATCGTAGGGGCGGGGCCTGTTTAATCAGAGGCTGGCCTGCCCCATAGCCACCATCGTAGGGGCGGGGCCTGTTTAATCAGAGGCTGGCCTGCTCCACAGCCACCATCATTAGCTCGTTTGAGTTTTACATTTTTACACAAAAATGTTCTGAGGACAGAATGAAAAATTATTGATTCAGAGAGATAACCAATCAGATTATAGAGGAGGTGGGTCCAAGCAACTAGAGGAGGTAGGACCAACCAATCGGATACATTTTTGTATATGTAAAACTCCCATGAGCGCAATATTATTGCATTCATATACAGAGTATATTGCTGTCTCACAATGTCAATTCACGCCCCCTGGGTTAACAGTTCAAATCTTCCCCAGCTCGATGTGAGTATGGATCCTTCACATTCTCCCCATTTGCTCTCTGGTACTCCCACCCCACCCCTCCAGCAGGGTCATCATAAAGGGTAGGGGGAAGAGTTGGGGGCCCAAAATCTCTAGCACTGTCCCTTAGTCTGGTTCTAGGGAGCCCTTAGGTTGTCACTGTGGGAATGCTGAATACGGTATTCCTCACAATAGATGGGCCTTAGAATTTTATCACTGCGAATTCACTCATTCAGTTTTTTTTTATTATTTCTACATTGTCGGCCTTATTATGTTCCTGTGTTAATCTGAATCTTGGTCCTGAAGCTGTGACGGTTATTACAGCCAGGGTTGCTGTCTCAGGGGAACAACCGGGGAACTCGGGGGAGGGGGGCTGGGCCAAGTGGGAGGGGGCGTGCACCACAGGGGCCTCGGCTGAAGTCATTTCGGGAATTATATGCGGCAGCCCTGATTATAGTAACGAGAGCGACTGACGGTGCGGAGCGGTCAGATAACCATGGGCATAAGACACATGTACGAGACGGAGTGCTGGCAGAACATGCCAGCAGACACGGAGACACACGTGTGCAGACACGCAAACACATAGACGCCGTCACGGATTACCTCCGGTGGATGTGTTATGCGCAGCCACAGTGAGAAAGGGGAGGATGGAGAGAGCGAAAGGAAAGAGGAACGGTGCCATTCTCTTACCTGCAGAGAGAGAGAGAGAGAAAGAGAGAGAGAGAAAGAGAAAGAGAGAAGCTTAATAATTAGAATATCTGTGCAAGGAGCTGCTTTAAAACGTGAGGCACTAATCACGTAATTACACGTAATAACACGTAATTACCACTAAAAATTTGACAGGTAAATAGCAGGGGAAAGGCAGCCAGCAGCACGGGAAGATTTTCATTTCCTATCAGAAATACAATAGCGCTATGATACCGGATGGGGTGACTTTGGCTGTATATCCCAATCTGTCTGCACTCTAAATTTATCCATCCTACAGCGCAGGCCCATAAAGCCTGATAGAATGGCCTCCACCCAGGGACACACGGGTTTACATTAAACGCACACACACAGGAACACAGACACACGGGCGGCTCCGTGGATGCCGATTCCCGCAGATGACAAGCGACACGGCTGGTTCCTGAGATGCAGAGCAGCAGCAGGGCTGAGGAAGGAGGAAAGGGGGAGGAGAGGAGGAGATGCTGAGGAAGAGGAGGCTGAAAGGGCTTACTGGGAGGAGGGCTGTCATGAAACACTTGAGGGTTAGCTGCAACAGGGCAGAGGCCACATGAGAGACAGTGACACCCACAGGGTGTGGGGGGTCATAACGGGGAGGGGGGGGGGGGGCGTAACAGGACAGCAGGAGGTCTAAAGGGCTTAGAGGGAACCAGAGGAGATCCCAAAATCAGCTCTGAGAAGCTGCCGTGGGGCACGTCGGCCATGCGGGACAGGAATGAGGAACTGCGGCAGAGGCAATAAACATAAGGAATGTGAGCGGCTGGCTTCACCCGGCGACCTCCGTTCGCTGCCGTGACGGCGATTAAAACAGGCGAGATAAACAGCCGCTGACAGCCCCGGGCCGGCGGCCCTCCCCCAGGCCTCGCTGTCCCACGGCGTTATTCCTTAATGCCATGCTAACAAATATTTTATAGCAAAGGACAGGTGCACGACTTTGTCCCTCTCATCAGAAGGTCGTCAGTTCAAATCCAAGGGTCAGCAGGTGATTTTGCCGTTGATCTCCCCTTGAAAATGGCCCAAAAAAGGTACATTGCTATGGATAGAAGCTAAATAACGTTCCAAGCCTTTTTAAAAAATCATTATTAGAACTTTTACCATTATGTTATGTCACTATTAACTTCACACTGCAGCTGTTACATTCTTATGCAATTTACCTGTTTTATATACACATTTAAATGTACTAGTTTTATATACTTAGCTTAACCTGCTCACACCACAGCAAATTCATCAAAAAAAAACAGACTTTTATTCCTTATGGATGAAATCTGTTGTTTACACACGTCTGCCATGACAGTAACTCTTTCACGGTCCGCAGCAACAAAAAGCTAATTTATGCCCGACTGGCTGACGAGATGCAGGCTTTACTGCATGCCGTCACAAAAAACAATAAACCCCGGAGCATGAATTACCCAGCCAGAACCGACTCTTTAACGGAGCCAAGGAAAAGATATATTTTCATGTTCATTGTACTCTGGAATTATAAGGAAAAAGAAACAATGAAACCCGGTTTGTTATTTATTTATATCAGTTATTAAGTTCAGTTTATTTGCTAATAGTGTCGTTCCAAGCACACAGAGGAATATATCAGTGAAGAAAATAAGGATGTTGATTACCGTAATGTCTATTTAAGATGTCTTTTTTATTCATTATAAAGCTGAATATAGAAAACCAAACAAGACTGTAACACACCTGCCTTTGACTTTCTGACTTTGAACCATTTTTCCAGTCCAGTGGACAGTTAAGAGGCTCAGTGCGATAACCAGGGCATCACTAAGGCTCACATCCTGGGGCTGAAACTCAAGACTTTCCTCTGCAAACGGAGGATTATTCTCTCTAAACAGGAACAGAGCCACACTCTCCATGATCCTCTAGTTCCTTCTCCTAGATGTAGGTGCAGAGTCCTGCCCCCCCAGCTGACACTTAACCCCCAGCTCCCTGCATAAAGAGGCAAACTGGGGCGGAAGGTGGACTCCTCCTATGGGCTCCTCATATAGGCTCCTCCTGTGGGCTCCTCCTGAGGGCTCCTCATATAGACTTCTCCTATGGGCTCCTCATATAGGCTCCTCCTATGGGCTCCTCATATAGGCTCCTCCTGTGGGCTCCTCCTGAGGGCTCCTCCTATGTTCTCCTCCTATGGGCTCCTCATATAGGCTCCTCCTGTGGGCTCCTCCTATGGGCTCCTCATATAGGCTCCTCCTGAGGGCTCCTCCTATGTTCTCCTCATATTAGCTCCTCCTATAGACTTCTCCTATGGGCTCCTCAAATGGGCTCCTCCACCCCCAAGTTCCCCTGGCTCTCCTCCCGAAATGGGCAGATCTCAGAGCCGCGAATGAGTAGACATCGCATCTCCACCAAAAACGGACCGTCCACCACACGTGTTTCTGCCTCATCTCTCCCCAGTGCATCCGGCCCGTCACACACAGCCATTCCTATCTGCCCGGTCCGAGGCGTAAATCCCTCAATAGGCCCTGAGCCACAATGGGCTTCTGGGCCCAGAACCATTCCGGGTTTAAGCTGCTTTGGGAGGCTCTTGGTGACCTAGAATCGCAGCCGACGGTGCCTGATCTCAGAGGGCTGCCTTCAAACGCGACGACGATGACCTGAGAGAGGAGCATCACCCAGCTTGAACCTCCTGCAGGTCTGACCAATCCTGCTTCTACAGGAGAATATTCTGATATGCCTGTCACCCTCAACGTCCAGTCGGTCCCCAGCGCTGCTCTGAGAACATCACAGGACGAGCACATGCTGGCTTTATCATTTATAATTCAAATGTTTTATGGCATTTTACCCACTGAAACCGTCCCTGTCCATAATCAATACGGCTAATTATTCACAATGACACTGATTCGTTACACTGATTATTTACAGACACTGATTCTGTCATACATAATTCCTCAAATATATTTCTCTGGCATTAAGTCCTGTTTAATAATTTCATGCTCCTTGATGAATCTAAACATTCTGAAAGGCATTTTGGCAACCAGATTCCAAACAACGTCACCCCATTATCAATATGGCCAATAATTAACACCCATCCCATTATCAATATGGCCAATAATTAACACCCATCCCATTATCAAAATGGCCAATAGTTAACACCCGGAATAGCAGATGCACTAAACCGGTCAGTTATCATTTTTAAAATACCAAAAATCTATGATATTAGCTGCTTCTGATTGGTTAAACCAGGCAATGTCTGTCAGCACACAGTGAGGCCAGCAATTCAGATATCGTACTGCCAACAAAAGCTGCCTGCATATCGTACCCTAAACACTCGATGGTCATTCTCAGCCATGTCAATATAGATTCTAATTCAACACAATATCTCTCCATCCCCCACTGTCAGAAAATAACAAGTAACAGGAAAAGGACTATATGGGATCACATGCTCAGTTAAGGCAGGGCTGAAAAACCCAGAGCCTGGCAGACCTTGTGATGGCCGGTAGTCTCTCCAATCCATTACTTTGTAAGCTTCTCTTCTCTTAAGAGCTTATTATCAGTAAAAATTATACTTAAGAGACTCCACAAAAACAAAGTTTTCAACATACATTTGCTTAATAAACACTGAAAAGATGCAATCTTCAAATGAACTCCCCAAAATATCAAAATATTTATAATTATGAGAGTGTCTTTAAGGTAAAACGCAAATATACATGATTTACTATGAACTAAGTCTGACAGCCCTGGCTTAGAGGGAAGCAGAAGGTGAGGAGGCTCATTAAAATTACAGTAATTCCTTATTAGGCAGTTAAGCAGAAGACAGAGAGCACAAGCCACATGCTGGGAGACACATGTGGGCACATACTGGGAGACCAGCAGAGATCAGAGACCAGTGGCGTCCGGGGGCAGGGAGACAGACACACACTGAGAAACACTGGGATGCAGCCCAGAAGAGATATGGAGAGACAAGGAGGGACAGGGAGATAGTGGGGAACACTGTGATACAGCCCTGCAGTGACAAGGAGGGACAGGGAGATAGTGGGGAACAATGGGATACAGCCCTGCAGTGACAAGGAGGGACAGGGAGATAGTGGGGAACAA